TAAGCAAATTACTAATGTAAATCATGTTGTAAGAAATCGTAAAACAAAAACAAAACACACACACACACAAAACAAACAAACACGGGTTTTAGAGGTCATTTGACCCAGGCCTAAATCCTGGTCCTCTTACTGACAGCATGTCACTAACCACCACGAGGCTCATTTTTTTTGTCTGTGAAACAGAGCTGACAATTCCTATCTCAAGAGATTGTCTCTTGGTTTGTTATTCGTCTAGTATGTATTAGGGGCTAAGAAAGCAAGCTATTTTTAAAAGAAATCTGTAGAGCATTATATGCTTAATGAGGACAAAAAGAATAAACATTCATAGCTTGTCTTCCTTTCCCACTCTCTTGGAAAGAAAAGGTGTTTGTAGTGCTAAACTGGGAGATGGGGGTGGGTGCTGAGCAGGGTAAGCAATGATTAAAGTTGTGAGATGAAATCTAGTGGGCAGCTTAATTTACAAAATAATGGACTTTGAAAGAAAAAATAGACTAAACAATGTGAAAGTTGAGGATTGAGAGAGAAGAGTGCTGGGTGTTTTGGGGGTAGACAGAAAGAGGGAAGGAGGGGTAGATGCAGTGTGATGACATTCAGGGGAACCAGATAGGTCAAAAAAATTTGGGGACCTGTTCTGTGGTGAAAGCCTCCAGCTGCCAGTTTTTTGTAAGTCTTCTTAAGTAGCTATCCCATAGGCAAAAATAGCAAAAGGGTTAAGGCCTAGTTAGTGGACCTGGAGGTGTCATTTTTAGAAAGTACTATCATAGTTTCCGTTTATTGAATGTTCACTATGGACCAGGCATTTTTCTGTGGACTTATCAGGATTAATTCATTTTATTCTCAAGACACTTCTACAAGGTAGCTCTTATTCTCCCCATTTTGCACATGCTAAAACAGAATCACAGATGATTCAAATAACTTGATGGAAGTCACCCAAATGAGTAGTAGAGCTTGGGAAAGCCTCAAATACTGTGATGCGAGATCTGTACTCTTATCCTGTGTGTCATTCTGCATCTGATACATGTGTGTGTGTGTGTGTGTGTGTGTCTGATCTTAAGGTAAACTTTGGGGCTGTTTGCCTTATTTTATAGGAGCTTGGTTTATACTCAACCACCTGATAAATGGTAAAAATGGGGTCCACAGGCTAACCTGGAGCAGAATCTCAGGCCCACACCAGACTCTGTATCCTAGGAAACAGGGACTGCATCTTAACAAGCTCTCCAAGTGATCATGTTCTGTGTGAGCAGCAGTGCCCCAGAATGGGGACCTATAGGCAGATGGACTTTCTGGTCTTGTCTCCAGTCTTTACAGTGTCTAGCTCAGCCATTCCCACCAAAGAGATTGACTCTTGATCCAACAGCAGATCAGGGAATGTTGGATATGAAATTAACTAACAAGTCTTGGATGCATAACAACTGGTCCATCTTCAGCTGACTGAATGGGATGGCCAGTGCCTCCAGCACAGCACCAGGCATGCACCAGATGCCCCGTGCATATCTCTTGACTAGAGACGGAAATGTGTGATAGAGACATCTAGCATACTTCCCCGACATTTAAAAAGGCCAAATAATGCCAAAGGAAGCAGAACAGTGATTATGCACTTATTCTTAACACAGTTCTTAGACAAGCTCTGCTCAATTGGTTCCCCTGTGAACTCCAGCTGATTCTCTTCCCTCGTGAGCTCTCTGTTGTCTTGGCTGTGTTTGCAACTCATTCTGAAACTAATTAAGTTTCAGGATCGGTTTGTCCTGTTAAGAGAGTGTGGATATTCTGAAGTAGTGGTTTTATTATAGCTTAAATTATCCGAGTGAAAGGACAATTATAATTTGTTTCTAATATTGGCCAAAAGTCAGATTCCATCAAAAATAAATCTTAACAGACATTAGTCTCTGTAAAACCAGGATATTTTATGAAAGGCAACAAAGAGGATTTAAATAGGCCATGGAAAATGTATTGATAATCTGGCCATATTTAATCCTGCTCTCTAACAGAGTGTGAAATTACTTGTTTACTTCACTTATCTGGGGCTTGGAGGTAGCTCATCTCTCGTTGACAGAGCCATATTTTGTGATCACCTTTCAGCAGTGAGCTTCTGCAGGGCCAAGGCCAAGCAATTTGACTTTGCTGGCCTATGTACTGCCTCCAAAGACAAGGTCAGGACTGGCGTTACCTCTCAGCGATAGAGGAACTCACGAACACCAATATCTGGTCAGGGCTTTGGTTTGTGCATGGACAGGGAGATAAGCCAGGACTAACTGTAAAATGTTGGGAGCTTTATTTTCAGTGTGCCCACATTTCTTTCCTGTACCATATTCCCGCAGAAGTGAGGGTTATGTTGTTTCATCATCAATCTACTATATTATCAAGTTGAACACTCTTGGGGATGCAATAAAGGATGAGAAGTCCCTGACCTAAAGGAGATTATTTATATTCAGAAACTAACCACTGTGGGGGTGAAATAGACCATGTTGATACTCTGCCCAGATCCTCTTTATCAAATTAGTGCATTCACCCCTCATGGCTGTAATGTTAGCTGCTAATGGCTCACAGCTGCCCCTTTCTGGAGAATTGACTGATTGCTCTTTAGCCAATGGAGGTGGGGGGACCTAAGAAACCTCTAGCATGACTGATTGACATGGGCTATGAGAGGCTGGACCCCTTTCCTTAAGGTGGGACCAACCCATGGCACAATTCATGCTCCAGAGCATCCTTTGGAACCATGCTGAAGCTGGACTCCTGCTGAGACCACCTTTTTACTTCCTTCACTTCCTTTCTAGCCTCTGTTCAATTGATCCAGTGCATCTGTATCTTCTCTAGAATGCTCAAATTAAACCTTGCAGAAGCTATTACTGCCATAAGCCTGAAAGAGCAAAAGGAGGTAACATCCCAAAGTGCAGTGAGAGCTGGAACCTTGGAGATAGGGTTGCCTGATGGGACCCAGGTCATGTAGGACTTGGCCACTGCTAATGACCAGGGTTGGAATTGGGGGAAAAAATATGGGTGCTGTAGGCCTACCATCCTTAACTCATCAAATGCTCGGTGTTTGAAATCATCAGAGTAGGCACACTGGGTCCTAAGACTCCTCAAATTAATGAGGCTGCTGCTAAACAGTTCTCTCTCTCCACCTTTCTCTGGTTATGTGCCCCTTTTGTCAAAACTAACAGATGTCTTAGTCCATCTAAGCAGCTAAAACAAAATACCACAGACTGAGTGGCTTTATAAACAATAGAAGTTTCTTGCTACAGTTCTGGAAGCTGGAAGTTCAAGATCAAGGTCCTCTTCTGGGACACAGACTGCTCACTGTATTCTCACAGGGTTGAAGGGCCTGGGGAGTCCATGGGTCTCCTTTATAAAAGCTCTAATCCCATTCATGAGGGTTCTACTTTTATGACCTAATTATCCCAAAAGGCTCTTGCTTCTAATCCCACTACCTTCAAGGGTTAGGATTTCAACTTTTGAATCTACAGGGGACACAACTATTCAGGTCATGGCAACAGGAAATAGCCAACAATAAGCTGGCAGTCAGTAGAGGGATTATCTTCATTTTATAGATGACGAGATTCCACTCTAGGGGACTAATGCCTTATGAGCTTGAAGAAGCCATTACTGTTTTTCCAGCGAATCTATAAGGAAACAGAATTCCATGAGAAGTTTATTGAATTTTGCTTCTGAAAGACTCTTTCGATGTCCTTACAGGTCAGTCCTCCTCAGAGGGAGGGCCATGTTGGTGGCCTGTGTGTGTGTGTGCGCCTGGTGGTAGTGGTGGGGGAGGTTGTAGCCCTGGACCTCCTGGTACAAAGTACTATTGAAAGGTTATCAAGTGGAGATGGGGAGAGGCCCTGCAGAGCTTATTTGTGACTGTTGTTCTCATGAGCCTAGAACCAGAGGCTCTGAGCTTTTTCTCTCACATAGTCATCCTCTTGCTCCCCTGCCACCCCCGCTTTGATTCTGAATCCTGATTTTGCAGGTAGGAGCTGGAAGGGAAAGGGGAGCATGGACTTGGGCACTTGGGGCAGGAAATCTGATCCGGGGCCTCTCTCTTGGAGCTGGTTTGCTGCAAAGGCATCTTGAGAAGGTGGACCAGGGCTTAGGGAAGGGGAATTGGGAGTTGCTTCAGGCAGGGCAACCTACATCTGTGCCATCACGCAGAAGGTAAAACTTGGAAAGTGGTTAAATTGATGAACCAACAAACCTGTAAAATTTCACACAACCAAGGCCCTTAATATAGAACCAGATTGCAAATTTCAGTCTATTGCACTGATTCATTCATGTTATTTCACAGACTAAAATCTTTACTATGCAAAGGTATGCAAATCGTATAGGAAGATAGTGTTCTTGGCCAAGTACCCCAACACCTGTTGGTTGTTTTTTTTTTTTTCTTCTTTGTTCTGCTTTCTGTTTGTTTTGTTTGTTTACTTCACTGGCACCATGCCACTGGGGTGGGGCATGAGATAGTAAATATAGTCAGCATTTGGACAATTTCCTAAATGGCAATGGAGAGGCATTATCCTTTTGACAAATACTGCGCTGATCGGCGTGTCTCTTTTCCTCCTTCCTTCCTTCCTTCCTTCCTTCCTTCCTTCCTTCCTTCCTTCCTTCCTTCCTTTCTTTCTTTCTTTCTTCCTTCCTTCCTTCCTTCCTTCCTTTTCCCTTTTGCTTTTTTTCTTATTCATTTCTTTATTGATTAAGGTATCATATATTTGTCCTCAACCCCCCCTTCTCCATTCCCATCCTCCACCCTTCCTCACTCATGCCCCACCCCCCTATTGTCCTTGACCACTGGTTAGGCTCATATGTGTGCACACAAGTCCTTTAGTTGATCTCTCCCTTTTATCCCCACCCTCCCTTTGAGGTCCAACAGTCTGACCCCTGGCTCCTTATCTTTGGGTCTGATCTTATTCATCAGTCTATGTTGTTCACCATTTCCCCTAGATGAGTGTGATCATGTCCTACTGGAAATATACTTATAAGCATTGACTTTCCTTTCTTTCTTGCCATCACAGAATGAAGAAGATGAGCAACATTTATGAGTCGGCGGCCAACACGCTGGGGATCTTTAACAGCCCCTGCCTGACCAAAGTGGAGCTGCGTGTGGCCTGCAAAGGCATTTCCGACAGAGATGCCCTCTCCAAGCCAGACCCCTGCGTCATCCTCAAGATGCAGTCACACGGGCAGTGGTTTGAGGTAGGCACGTCCAAGCCACGGGGACAGGCGCGTGGCTGGGGGATTGGTTCCAAAATAGTTTGGCCTTCCCGTCCTTCGGTGGTTTATTTGGATGAGATGAGAAATCCTGGATGTGAAGACAATGATGATTCTGCTTGAGCTGTGAGGTTTGGCTGTGGCTGTGGCAGAGCTGTGGGCAGTTTGACATTTACCCTTCGTGTGTGTGTTCCCGGCGGACGTAGTGGGAGGAGTGCCTCCCAGGGACCACATCACACAACATTTATGATTTTGGAGGGAGAATTTAATATTAGATAAACTGGAATGGGTACTTATAAAGGGTCAGGCACTGTCCCAAGAGCTTTCCATAGAAATAACAAACTGAGTCCTCATGACAGTCCTCTGAGACAGACTGGTTAAGGCTATGTCCAGATCATTCAGCTTGGAAGTGGGAAATCTCATATTTGCACCTGGGAACTGGAGCCCCAGTGCCCCCACGCTCTTCATGGCTGTTTTGTCATAATGGTGGGCATCCGTGTCGTCTTCGGTGGCTTGCGTGGCAGTATGGCAGGTTGAATTCTGCAGTTTGGTTTTGTTTATCTAGAAGTTGAGACAAATTGGATGCGGACTGGCTTTTAGGTGTTTCGTTTTTTTTTCTTTTTCACTTCTAAGTACCTAAATAAGCTGTGCTTTAAGAGATCAGGTCTGAAGAGAATGGGGGATGGGGAGGGGCAGGGGTGCAGCAGAGTCTGCAGCTATTATCCTTTGTAAGGGAACCTGAGAGCTGGTGGAGTTTGGGTACAGGTTTGGAGCCATGCTGAGTCATGCAAGAGGAGACTGTTACCTGCTTGGAATCCTCCAGGACCAACTCCTGTAAGACTTCAATACTTCTCCTACCTGTTTGCATATCAGGTGCTCCTCGACGGGGCAAAGTCTTCACTTCCCAGTAGGAAGAAGGCTCCGAAGGTCATAGAAGTAGCACATTTGCTTATTAGTACCTAAGTGATAAGAGCCGGTCCTCCAAGGCAGGGTGAGATGCAGGTTGGTGAGCAGGTGTATTGAGGTGAGTAGGCACTGCATATAGGGGGATGACAGATGGGCAGGTTGGGGATCTTACTTTAACTTCAGGCGTATCTACCAGGGTTTATATTGTAAACTAAAACCGGATTCACAGGTCACCTTAATGTGTAATATGTATGTTTTTTCCTTCTAAATATCCTCATTAACTTGGTTAGTGAATTTCACTGTTTTTCATGAACAAAACTAAGTGGAATTTCTGCATCAGAAAAAAGGTCACTCTTTGAAAATCAGAGAAAAAAAATTCATCTCCTAATACCCTCTTTACATAATTCAGTAATTGTTTGTACATACTTATTTTCAGTTTTATCATGCATGTCAAGTTTTCTTTCCTGATTTTTTTTATTACCTAGTAGCATATGTGTTTTCCCACAGTGCTATAATACTCATAATTTTCAAGGCTGTATGAAATGCCATCAAATGGATTTAAATGAGTTATTTTTTTCACTTCAAAGTGGCTTCACAAAAATACCCTATTTTCAATGATGCTGCAATGGACATCCTTGTGCGTGTGGATTTTCCCTCCTTTTGGGATAAGTTCCTAGGAGATATTCCATCAGAGTGGAGCTCAGGGGAGAAGGACAGGACGCTTGTGGGCCTTTTGATATGTGTTGCCAAATTGCTTTTCCAAAGTGCTCTATTACAGTGTCACTCCAAGTGTGGCCTGCACACCGCTCCGCTCCCTTCGTCCACAGACCTTTTGTCACCCACACGCAGTGAGATAAGAGACTTATGTCACAATGTGTATTGATTTACCGCTTCCCTCCCCTAAAAAGTCTTAACTCTTTAAAAGCAGTGATGTCAGCTGAGCCTCCAGCATGCTTAGTGATGTGGCTGATTGTTATTGCAGCACCTTGAGACGCTCTTCTCTGATTAATTTTACACTCTTAACAACACACATTCAGGATTCAGTCTGAATAACTGAGCCTGTGCCAGGTAACTTAATAGGACTTAACCTAGGTCACTAACTAATACCAAAAGAGTAGGAAATGCAGAGAAGCTGAGAGGGACTGTGAGGAAATCCAGAAACTAACTGTAAGAACCTGCTACTTGGCTCAGAAGTGTGCAAACACAGCTTGCACACTTTTTTTGCAGGCTTGAATGTGAGTCTCTACTACCCTATAGACAATGACCAATGTTTCAAATCAGAGCTTCTTTTCTCCTCCCCCCTTCCCCTTCTAGAGCCAGTTGTTAAACATTTCCCAGCACATCACTGGCTGAGAGGGATGAAGGAGCAACCACTCAGCGGGACCACCAGCAGAAGCTGGATGCATGGAAGAAGGGCCTCCCAGTGGGAACCAAAAGGCAGAGGAGATGGGATAGTGCTAGGAGTGCTGCCTGAAAGGGAGATGGGGCTGCCCTGGCCTTCCCTCGGCTGCTCTCTCATCTCCTGTCAGTGTCTTCCACTGACCAAACCTTGATGGAAGCCAGCGGCAAGGCTTGCAGACAGAGGATGTGCCAGAGAGCAAAGAGGTGAATGACCAGCGCATAAACCTCCTGACAACTCACAGTGACTTGCAGAACCATTCCTTCTCCATGATCTTTAGTGCTAGCACCGACCTTTCAGTACAACTCCAGCCAGTGGTCTTAGGCTACACATTAGAAGCACACCTGTGCTCGCTTTGGCAGCACATGTACTAAAATTGGAACGATATAGAGGAGATCAGAAGCATGCCTATGGTAGGAGTTAGAAACACCTGATAGTCTATTGAAATCATGTAGCTACACTCTCTCTGTTTAATGAAGGCTAGCAAATGTGGGCACTGCTCTGGGACAAGATTTACTGATAAGCGAATTTTCCTGTATCCAGAACATGTCTGGATTTCCAGAGCGATTTCTATGTACAGAGGTGAGGGAAAACCCCGCGGAAGAGAATGCATGCTGGCTGTCACTTCCTTGGCGGTCTTCGTTATGGGGTATCTGATAATTGACCAAGTGAAGAAAAATAGAGGCCAGACTTATTTGCATAATGAAGAGATTTCTGAGGGTGAGGGGTGTCAGGCTGAAGAGAAAAAAACAAGGTGAGCTTATGTTTTATAGGGAATTTTAAAGTTTGGGAAAAGAAGCTCTATCTAGAGGAGCACCGTTGCTTCAATGATGGCAATGCCTCTATCTGCTGGGTCCAATCAGGGCTTCACTGGCCACATGTAAGCACCTCAGAGGTGGACTGTGTGACTGAAACACTGACATTCTTAATTATTTAGTTTTAATTAATGTCAGAGTAAGTGCAGAGAGCTGACACAGTTCCAGAGTGTGTTTGATGTGCCAGAGAATTCGCTGGGCTGGGGAGAAGAGGAAAGGGGGTTTATAAAAATGTAGCTGTGGGCTATTAATTTTATAGCCTAAGTTTTTCTGGGGAGCTGTAACTAAAGATTGACATTTCTTTTTATTAAGTGTGATTGCTGGACTGTGCTTTCTGTAATGGAATTCCAGCATGGGAAGGGTCCCTTTATGTCCTGCTTTACAGCTCAGGTTACTAAGGTGCTTCCCAAGGGGATGAGGGGGAGGAGAGGGGAATGGGGTGTGTGTGAGTGGCAGAGAGGACTGTTTTCTCTCTTAATCAGCTCTAACTTGTTGGCAATGGAAGAGAACATTTGAGCTCTAAGATGTATCATAAAAATGTAAGCTTGATTTTTATATTGAAAAAGATCTATAGTCCGACCTTCTATGCTGCTAATAGTATTAAGAGTCAATGAAGATAAATCTATTTGCCTTTGAAATATTGGAAATCAAATTGATCTGAAATGCGCAATGGGTTGTTGCTCTTTACATGCCTGAGGACTGAGAAGCCAGAGATAGGATGGTACTTTCATTGGGTGCAGCTTTGTTAATGGCTATGAATGTAGCTGTCAGAAAGAAGGAAAGAGAAAACTTGTAGCTTGGAAAAATATTCCAAACTGAGACGTTCAGACCTACCATTTAGTTTCCCTAATTTAGAAGCATACTTACTTTTTAAAAAATTCCTGCTGCACCTGCTCCTGGCAAGATCATGGCAACAGTCTAGGGTACAGTTCTGGGTACTGATCATTGAGAACACATTTAACAGGTCCCCTGACTCCTGGAAGTGAACGTCGTATCCAAGTGGAATAAATGAGCACTGACTTCCCAGGGGTCAAAGGCAAGGTCCATTGTGAACTGAAACCTTGTATTCAGATTTCCTGGGCCTCAGTGTTCTCCATGAAGCAGAGCTAACCTCAGGCTGCCCTGGGTCCTTAGCGGAGATCCTGTAAGTGGCAGAGTACTTGTCCTCATTGGAAAGAGCCAAACTATTTCCCACAGTACTAGAATGGTGCTCCAAATACCTTATTTCCATTTTTCCCATTTAATTTTAGTACAGTTATGAAGCTCCTCCATATTGACCCAAGGGTAATTAGAGGATCCTCTAATTACCCTTGGGTCAGTTCGGTATGAAAACATGTTATGATGAACCTGGTGCTTTGGTAGAGTCTTGGTGATAACAATAATTATTGATGATAATTAGCATGATTATATCTAACATATCAAGTATCAGTGGATTCTAATGCAAGATTATTGTTTATAATAATAATATATTAAAATAGTTTATATTTACAAAGCCCATCTACTCGCATTATTTCACTTATTTCTCATGACAGCCCCATGAAAAGAAGGCACAGACATTGAAATTAGCCCCAGCATGTATTGAGTGCCATGAAAAAGACATGAGTTGCATCCTCAATGACTTCAGAGTCCAGGCAAAGAACTCACCCTATTTTAGAGTCAGAGGCTAGAAGCTCAGATGATCACGTGATCTTGAGAACCAGGGCTCAAAACAGGCCCTGACTTAAATCTCTTCCTTTCCTTAGATGTGCAGTGGGTACACCATGTCAAAGGTGCCAAGACTACCTTTGGGTGGAGAGGAGCTAAAAATCACTCTTTCATTCCTCCATTCATTTCCAACTTTCATCCACACTCTCTTCCCTACCCAG